GCTTACCCAGATACAGCTTAACCAGATACAGCTTACCCAGATACAGCTTAACCAGATACAGGTTAACCGCTTAACCAGATACAGCTTACCCAGATACAGCTTACCCAGATACAGCTTAACCAGATACAGCTTACCCAGATACAGCTTAACCAGATACAGGTTAACCGCTTAACCAGATACAGCTTAACCAGATACAGGTTAACCGCTTAACCAGATACAGCTTAACCAGATACAGCTTAACCAGATACAGCTTAACCAGATACAGCTTACCCAGATACAGCTTACCCAGATACAGCTTACCCAGATACAGCTTACCCAGATACAGCTTACCCAGATACAGCTTACCCAGATACAGCTTAACCAGATACAGCTTACCCAGATACAGGTTAACCAGATACAGCTTAACCAGATACAGCTTACCCAGATACAGCTTACCCAGATACAGCTTAACCAGATACAGCTTACCCAGATACAGCTTACCCAGATACAGCTTAACCAGATACAGCTTACCCAGATACAGCTTAACCAGATACAGGTTAACCGCTTAACCAGATACAGCTTAACCAGATACAGGTTAACCGCTTAACCAGATACAGCTTAATCAGATACAGCTTAACCAGATAAAGGTTAACCGCTTAACCAGATAAAGCTTAACCAGATACAGCTTAACCAGATACAGCTTAACCACTTAACCAGATACAGGTTAACCGCTTAACCAGATACAGGTTAACCGCTTAACCAGATACAGCTTAACCAGATACAGCTTACCCAGATACAGCTTACCCAGATACAGCTTACCCAGATACAGCTTAACCAGATACAGCTTACCCAGAAACAGCTTACCCAGATACAGCTTACCCAGATACAGCTTAACCAGATACAGGTTAACCGCTTAACCAGATACAGCTTAACCAGATACAGCTTAACCAGATACAGGTTAACCGCTTAACCAGATACAGCTTAACCAGATACAGGTTAACCGCTTAACCAGATACAGCTTAACCAGATACAGCTTAACCAGATACAGCTTACCCAGAGACAGCTTAACCAGATACAGGTTAACCGCTTAACCAGATACAGCTTAACCTGATACAGCTTAACCAGATACAGCTTACCCAGATACAGCTTAACCAGATACAGGTTAACCGCTTAACCAGATACAGCTTAACCAGATACAGCTTAAAGGAGAACTCCGGGCAATTTTTAAGTTAATCTTGATCGTTAGACCTTTGTGAGTACTGACTATAGGAAAAAAAACGAACCGGATTGGTGCTTGCTACGCGGAGCTGCGACCGCGAATGCCCAGAGCTCCCACCCAGCTAAAACGGCAGCTATGGGGGCATCGACATAAAGAGCGTTTTTAAGCCTCTTAACAGACACAAAATGCAATTAAAATGTCTGTCCAACATGAACAGGGACCCTACATGTGAACAAGATGCGTTTAGCAACTTAGCCATTGTTTCAACTCACCTAAATAGTCTTTTAGACGGCAAGCTGTAGTCTCGCGCTGCAGTCCCGTGCTGTAGCCGGAAAAGGTAAACAATGTCCAGGTGGGAGGAGCCATTTCTTCTTCACTTGTAAGCAACTCTGATCATAACTCGTCGCACATGATCAACGCTCCTCCCACCTGGACATTGTTTACCTTTTCCGGCTACAGCACGGGACTGCAGCGCGAGACTACAGCTTGCCGTCTAAAAGACTATTTAGGTGAGTTGAAACAATGGCTAAGTTGCTAAACGCATCTTGTTCACATGTAGGGTCCCTGTTCATGTTGGACAGACATTTTAATTGCATTTTGTGTCTGTTAAGAGGCTCAAAAACGCTCTTTATGTCGATGCCCCCATAGCTGCCGTTTTAGCTGGGTGGGAGCTCTGGGCATTCGCGGTCGCAGCTCCGCGTAGCAAGCACCAATCCGGTTCGTTTTTTTTCTTATAGTCAGTACTCACAAAGGTCTAACGATCAAGATTCACTTAAAAATTGCCCGGAGTTCTCCTTTAACCAGATACAGCTTACCCAGATACAGCTTACCCAGATGCAGCTTACCCAGATGCAGCTTAACCAGATACAGCTTAACCAGATACAGCTTACCCAGATACAGCTTACCCAGATACAGCTTAACCAGATACAGCTTACCCAGATACAGCTTAACCAGATACAGCTTACCCAGATACAGCTTACCCAGATACAGCTTAACCAGATACAGCTTACCCAGATACAGCTTACCCAGATACAGCTTACCCAGATACAACTTACCCAGATACAGCTTAACCAGATACAGCTTACCCAGATACAGCTTACCCAGATACAGCTTACCCAGATACAGCTTACCCAGATACAGCTTAACCAGATACAGCTTACCCAGATACAGCTTACCCAGATACAGCTTAACCAGATACAGCTTACCCAGATACAGCTTACCCAGATACAGCTTACCCAGATACAGCTTACCCAGATACAGCTTAACCAGATACAGCTTACCCAGATACAGCTTACCCAGATACAGCTTAACCAGATACAGCTTACCCAGATACAGCTTACCCAGATACAGCTTACCCAGATACAACTTACCCAGATACAGCTTAACCGCTTAACCAGATACAGTGATATTAAGAGCTGAGAGCGTGATGTCACTGATATTAAGAGCTGAGAGCGTGATGTCACTGATATAAAGAGCTGAGAGCGTGATGTCACTGATACAAAGAGCTGAGAGCGTGATGTCACTGATACAAAGAGCTGAGAGCGTGATGTCACTGATACTAAGAGCTGAGAGCGTGATGTCACTGATATAAAGAGCTGAGAGCGTGATGTCACTGATATAAAGAGCTGAGAGCGTGATGTCACTGATATAAAGAGCTGAGAGCGTGATGTCACTGATACTAAGAGCTGAGAGCGTGATGTCACTGATACTAAGAGCTGAGAGCGTGATGTCACTGATATAAAGAGCTGAGAGCGTGATGTCACTGATATAAAGAGCTGAGAGCGTGATGTCACTGATGTAAAGAGCTGAGAGCGTGATGTCACTGATGTAAAGAGCTGAGAGCGTGATGTCACTGATATAAAGAGCTGAGAGCGTGATGTCACTGATATAAAGAGCTGAGAGCGTGATGTCACTGATACTAAGAGCTGAGAGCGTGATGTCACTGATACTAAGAGCTGAGAGCGTGATGTCACTGATATAAAGAGCTGAGAGCGTGATGCCACTGATATAAAGAGCTGAGAGCGTGATGTCACTGATATAAAGAGCTGAGAGCGTGATGTCACTGATATAAAGAGCTGAGAGCGTGATGTCACTGATATAAAGAGCTGAGAGCGTGATGTCACTGATATTAAGAGCTGAGAGCGTGATGTCACTGATATAAAGAGCTGAGACCGTGATGTCACTGATATAAAGAGCTGAGAGCGTGATGTCACTGATATAAAGAGCTGAGAGCGTGATGTCACTGATATAAAGAGCTGAGAGCGTGATGTCACTGATATAAAGAGCTGAGAGCGTGATGTCACTGATACAAAGAGCTGAGAGCGTGATGTCACTGATACTAAGAGCTGAGAGCGTGATGTCACTGATATAAAGAGCTGAGAGCGTGATGTCACTGATATAAAGAGCTGAGAGCGTGATGTCACTGATATAAAGAGCTGAGAGCGTGATGTCACTGATACTAAGAGCTGAGAGCGTGATGTCACTGATACTAAGAGCTGAGAGCGTGATGTCACTGATATAAAGAGCTGAGAGCGTGATGTCACTGATATAAAGAGCTGAGAGCGTGATGTCACTGATGTAAAGAGCTGAGAGCGTGATGTCACTGATGTAAAGAGCTGAGAGCGTGATGTCACTGATATAAAGAGCTGAGAGCGTGATGTCACTGATGTAAAGAGCTGAGAGCGTGATGTCACTGATATAAAGAGCTGAGAGCGTGATGTCACTGATATAAAGAGCTGAGAGCGTGATGTCACTGATGTAAAGAGCTGAGAGCGTGATGTCACTGATATAAAGAGCTGAGAGCGTGATGTCACTGATATAAAGAGCTGAGAGCGTGATGTCACTGATGTAAAGAGCTGAGAGCGTGATGTCACTGATATAAAGAGCTGAGAGCGTGATGTCACTGATACTAAGAGCTGAGAGCGTGATGTCACTGATACTAAGAGCTGAGAGCGTGATGTCACTGATATAAAGAGCTGAGAGCGTGATGCCACTGATATAAAGAGCTGAGAGCGTGATGTCACTGATATAAAGAGCTGAGAGCGTGATGTCACTGATATAAAGAGCTGAGAGCGTGATGTCACTGATATAAAGAGCTGAGAGCGTGATGTCACTGATATTAAGAGCTGAGAGCGTGATGTCACTGATATAAAGAGCTGAGACCGTGATGTCACTGATATTAAGAGCTGAGAGCGTGATGTCACTGATATAAAGAGCTGAGAGCGTGATGTCACTGATATAAAGAGCTGAGAGCGTGATGTCACTGATATTAAGAGCTGAGAGCGTGATGTCACTGATATAAAGAGCTGAGACCGTGATGTCACTGATGTAAAGAGCTGAGAGCGTGATGTCACTGATATAAAGAGCTGAGAGCGTGATGTCACTGATATAAAGAGCTGAGACCGTGATGTCACTGATATTAAGAGCTGAGAGCGTGATGTCACTGATATAAAGAGCTGAGAGCGTGATGTCACTGATATAAAGAGCTGAGAGCGTGATGTCACTGATATTAAGAGCTGAGAGCGTGATGTCACTGATATAAAGAGCTGAGACCGTGATGTCACTGATGTAAAGAGCTGAGAGCGTGATGTCACTGATATAAAGAGCTGAGAGCGTGATGTCACTGATATAAAGAGCTGAGAGCGTGATGTCACTGATATTAAGAGCTGAGAGCGTGATGTCACTGATATAAAGAGCTGAGAGCGTGATGTCACTGATATAAAGAGCTGAGAGCGTGATGTCACTGATATTAAGAGCTGAGAGCGTGATGTCACTGATATAAAGAGCTGAGACCGTGACCTACTCCAGGAAGTCCGTGACGTGTTTTCGGCTGCATTTGGACCAGGACCAGGGGCTGGTGTCGTAGTTGAGGATCGGAGCCATGACGTGGAACTGGTGCTTTACTCCGTTCTCTCGGCACTTCGGACTGTCGTCATGCGGCATGTTGAACCTACGAGACACACACACACACACACAGACACACAATCCACAGCACTGAGTTCATGCACTTCCAGGATACAACACTGTGACTGTACTGAAGAAATACCATCACTGCAAAATATCATGCTCTTCCTCAGTGTTTCTGTCTTCTTTTGATCACAAATATATAAACATTCTTACATCAAGAAACATTTACTGGAAAAGTAAATGTATCTTTTTTAAATGTATAAATGAAGTGAGTTTGTGCTTAAAACAAGAACAAATATCTGCCAATGGGTTCAGAAAAATAATCTTGTTTTCTCTTTGGATAAAGTTGATTTTTTTTTACTCCACTGGCAGATATTTGTTCTTGTTTCAAACTCTTCATTTTGATGCATTTTGTCAGTAAGCAAGTCTTAATATCTTCTGTTATTTTGCATCTCCCATAAATGTGTCTTGATTTAAGAATGTTTGTGCTGGAAAACAAGATGAAAATACTTTGGAAGAACATAATTATTATTATTATTATTATTATTTTGCAGTGTACCATATACAAAAGCTATATTTATGTTAAGATACTTATCTTCTAAAATTCTTAAATCCAAAAAACCCCATTCGTACCATGGCATTTCTGTTAATGCCGTGATGTGTGACTGTCAACATAAAAACAAAACCTCTTTCATGGCAGAAAGGAAAAGTCCAGCAAAAATAAAGTCCTGAAATAAAAGCTGTACTGAGAAGAATCTGCCGTCTGAAATAGAAACGCAGTGATGTCAGACTCCAGAAACAGCTGTGTGTACGCAGATCCTTCACACTCCAGCTGTGCGGCTTCATACACACCTCAGACACGTTTCATATGTCATATTCTGTCTGAATCGGTTTCATTTCAAGAACATCTGTGCTGATGATCAAAAGAGTTCTATATAGAACTCTAGGGTTCTTGACTCATTTTGTAAGAACCCTAGATATCAAAAAAAGTTATATGTAGAACTCTAGGGTTCTTGACTCAATTTTAAAGAACCCTAAATGCTCTAAAAAGGTTCTATTTAGAACTCTAGGGCTCTTGATTCAATTTTAAAGAACCCTTAATGCCAAAAAGGTTCAATTTAGAACTCTAGGGTTCTTGATTCAATTTTAAAGAACCCTAAATGCCCTTAAAAAATTATATTTAGAACTCTGGTTCATGACTCAATTTTAAAGAACCCTTAATGCCAAAAAGGTTGTATTTAGAACTCTAGGGTTCTTGATTCAATTTTAAAGAACCTTAAATGCCCTTACCAATCTTCTATTTAGAACTCTAGGGTTCTTGACTCAATTTTAAAGAACCCTTAATGCCAAAAAAGGTTCTTGATTCAATTTTAAAGAACCCTAAATGCCCTTAAAAAATCTTCTATTTAGAACTCTAGGGTTCTTGACTCAATTTTAAAGAACCCTTAATGCCAAAAAAGGTTCTTGATTCAATTTTAAAGAACCCTAAATGCCCTTAAAAAATCTTCTATTTAGAACTCTAGGGTTCATGACTCAATTTTAATGAACCCTTAATGCCAAAAAGGTTCTATTTAGAACACTAGGGTTCTTGATTAAAATTTATAGAACCCTTAATGCCAAAAAGGTTCTATTTAGAACTCTAGGGTTCTTGACTCAATTTTAAAGAACCCTAAATGCCCTTTAAAAATCTTCTATTTAGAACTCTAGGGTTCTTGACTCAATTTTAAAGAACCCTTTATGCCAAAAAGGTTCTATGTAACGAGAAAATGTCTTAAATGACGGAATACTGCTTTCATATTTAGAACTCTAGGGTTCTTGACTCAATTTTAATGAACCCTTAATGCCAAAAAGGTTATATTTAGAACACTAGGGTTCTTGATTAAAATTTATAGAACCCTTAATGCCAAAAAGGTTCTATTTAGAACTCTAGGGTTCTTGACTCAATTTTAAAGAACCCTTAATGCCAAAAAAGGTTCTTGATTCAATTTTAAAGAACCCTAAATGCCCTTAAAAAATCTTCTATTTAGAACTCTAGGGTTCATGACTCAATTTTAATGAACCCTTAATGCCAAAAAGGTTCTATTTAGAACACTAGGGTTCTTGATTAAAATTTATAGAACCCTTAATGCCAAAAAGGTTCTATTTAGAACTCTAGGGTTCTTGACTCAATTTTAAAGAACCCTAAATGCCCTTAAAAATCTTCTATTTAGAACTCTAGGGTTCTTGACTCAATTTTAAAGAACCCTTTATGCCAAAAAGGTTCTATGTAACGAGAAAATGTCTTAAATGACGGAATACTGCTTTCATATTTAGAACTCTAGGGTTCTTGACTCAATTTTAATGAACCCTTAATGCCAAAAAGGTTATATTTAGAACACTAGGGTTCTTGATTAAAATTTATAGAACCCTTAATGCCAAAAAGGTTCTATTTAGAACTCTAGGGTTCTTGACTCAATTTTAAAGAACCCTTAATTCCAAAAAAGGTTCTTGACTCAATTTTAAAGAACCCTAAATGCCCTTAAAAATCTTCTATTTAGAACTCTAGGGTTCTTGACTCAATTTTAAAGAACCCTTTATGCCAAAAAGGTTCTATGTAACGAGAAAATGTCTTAAATGACGGAATACTGCTTTCATATTTAGAACTCTAGGGTTCTTGACTAAATTTTAATGAACCCTTAATGCCAAAAAGGTTATATTTAGAACACTAGGGTTCTTGATTAAAATTTATAGAACCCTTAATGCCAAAAAGGTTCTATTTAGAACTCTAGGGTTCTTGACTCAATTTTAAAGAACCCTTAATGCCAAAAAAGGTTCTTGATTCAATTTTAAAGAACCCTAAATGCCCTTAAAAAATCTTCTATTTAGAACTCTAGGGTTCATGACTCAATTTTAATGAACCCTTAATGCCAAAAAGGTTCTATTTAGAACACTAGGGTTCTTGATTAAAATTTATAGAACCCTTAATGCCAAAAAGGTTCTATTTAGAACTCTAGGGTTCTTGACTCAATTTTAAAGAACCCTAAATGCCCTTAAAAATCTTCTATTTAGAACTCTAGGGTTCTTGACTCAATTTTAAAGAACCCTTAATGCCAAAAAGGTTCTATGTAAGGAGAAAATGTCTTAAATGACTGAATACTACTTTCATATTAAATGTTTTTTTTTTCTAGTGATAAAGCATGTTTACGAGCTTTTTAATTCCTAAAATTGAATTAAAATCATAAAAATTTAATAAAACTAAATTAATTAATTAAAACTAAATCCAGGATGGGAACCCACTAAAAGGTTCTATAGATGAAGCACCTGACGGAACCCTATAAGGTTCTATAGAACCTTCCCTTCTAAGAGAAACACATCGAATTAAACGTGCAATTTGAAAGTAGAAAAACTGAAATAGTATTTTCTTGTAAAACATACTCCAATAATCTTTGACAATATTTTGTGCACACGTGTTTCATCTGGAGGGCAGATTGTAGATGTTACTGTGTTGTGCAGTGAAGGGCTTCCTTTGGACGTTAGCTTATGGATTTGTGAGGCGGTTTGACCTCGTCGTCCCACTGCATGGATTCCCTCCGCATGACTATCATTCTTACACACACACGGATCCACACTGCTTCATTTATACAGAGAGAAACAGTTCTGAGCTCACGTGACATCACTAATATGACACTGATCATCATCATTTAATGCAAAACATGGTGTTCTTCCTCAGTGTTTCTGTCTCGTTCTCCAGCACAAATATCCAAACATTCTTACACCAAGACACATTTACTGGAGAAGAACACTGACTGAAAATATTAAGACTTGTTTACTGAAAAATGTGAGTTTTTGCTTTTTTTTTTGCTTAAAACAAGAAGAAATATCACCCAATGCAGTCAGAAAAATAAACTTAATTCAAAGGGAAACAAGATTATTTTTCTCACTGCATTGGCAGGTATTTGTTCTTGTTTTAACCACAAACTTTTCACATTTTTCAGAACTCAAGACTAAATATCTTCAGTCATTGTTCTTCTCCAGTAACTGTGTGTTGATGTAAGAATGTTTAGATGTTAGTGCTGGAGAACGAGATAGAAACACTGAGGGAGAGCGTGATTTACGGCGGTGTAAGGAGTGTACGGCTGTGTACGGTGTACGGCTGTGGGTCGCTGTGATGAAAGCGCGGGGTCTGTGTTGTGTTCGGCACCGGCGCTGTCTGAGATGTGCTGAGTGTGTTTGAGAGAGACTCACACGTGTCCCAGCTCGTGAGCGATGGTGAAGGAAGAGCTCAGGCCGTTCTCCTCGCTGATGGAGCAGCTCCGGTACGGGTCGCACATCGTTCCCAGCTCCGCCAAACCTTCAGGTGCACACACACACACACACACACACACACACACACACACACACACACACACACACACGACATCAGTCAAGTCTCCTTCATTTATACAGCGCTTTAACGATATAGAGTTTCACAGCAGCTTTACAGTGATAACAGGAGATTACAGTAACAGAGATTGTTTAGGCTTTACAGCAGATCTAGAAAAAGTTATTGTCCAGATAAAGTTAGTTTTGATTGATTCACTTCCGTCTCAAAGATCATTAGTTATTAACTTAGCGGCCGCTAACACAACACCGCTCTAACAGAAAACCCTTAACGCGCTCCGGGCGCTCACTCACACACACACAACAGTGTCTGGTGATCGAGAACACAAACTCTGAAATAGATTAGCAAGTGTTGAAAAATTTCATCTCCATGTAAACTTCAAAAACGTGAATCTGTGGGAACGCTTGCGTATTGCGTGTTCAGTCTATAGGTATGCGCGTTTGAATATATATGTGCGCAGGCGTGTAGTTTAATTTTGCAAATTGACCTCAACAAATCACTTGTCCGGCCTTAAACATTCATAATACAGATTTTTTTGTCACTTCCGCCTATCCATGTGAATTTTATCCATGAATCCATTATCCACCACTTTTCCACTGGAGGGATCGCTGGGACGCTTGGATGAGATTGCGGGCCCTAAACACCTGCACAGGTCCTGCACGGGCCCCTGGGTCTGTGCATTCATGACCACAGCTGGCCCTGTGTGACGAGCCGATGACAGGCCCATCAAGCTCAGCCGACACACTGGTTCTGCTTCAGGAACCAGACTTCACGACAGGAACCAGACGAAGTGACACACTAATGAACACACTAATGAAAACGTCCTGTATATGGCCTACTATTATGAAAAACTAAAACATATGTGAAAAGATATGCAATATGCTGTATGACAAGAGCTGTTGTCACATGACCAACAGGACTCAAAGATATTAAATTCATTAAAGAAAAACACCTGTTACATCGCATTTTCAAAACAAAGTTTTGTAATAGTGCCAGTGTAATATATAGTGTGTATTAGTGTGTAATAGTGTAATAGTGCCAGTGTAATATATAGTGTGTATTAGTGTGTATTAGTGTAATAGTGCCAGTGTAATATATAGTGTATTAGTGTAATAGTGCCAGTGTAATATATAGTGTGTATTAGTGTAATAGTGCCAGTGTAATATATAGTGTATTAGTGTAATAGTGCCAGTGTAATATATAGTGTGTATTAGTGTGTATTAGTGTAATAGTGCCAGTGTAATATATAGTGTATTAGTGTAATAGTGCCAGTGTAATATATAGTGTATTAGTGTAATAGTGCCAGTGTAATATATAGTGTATTAGTGTAATAGTGCCAGTGTAATATATAGTGTGTATTAGTGTAATAGTGCCAGTGTAATATATAGTGTGTATTAGTGTAATAGTGCCAGTTTGATTTAATTTTGACTTATCACAAAGGAGAAAAAACAAACTATTATTTAAAATACGCAATATAAAACATTATGCAGATTTAGCAAGAAAAAAACTCTCAGAAATAAATAGTTATTTTACATTTTCAAAGTAATTTTAAGTAAAAAAAAAAGAAAAAGCGAAGCACAATAATTAATTTGCATTTTCAGAAATGTTTTTGTAAAAACATTTGACAGTCTGACCAAATAATGAGTCAAGTATTTGAAAAAAACTATTAAAACACTAAATGTGAAACAGTATGCATGACTAGAAGATATTTAATTAATTAATATTTTCAACAAAAAAAAAATTAAATGTGTGGCAGTCTAATCAAATAATGGGAAAAAGTGCTTTCACACGACTACACTGAAATATGTTATTTCTGCACTTTCGAAGCATTGTGTGAGCATAACCCAGCTGTACATTACAGGTCTGGATGAAACAAAGGAAACCCTTACCTAACGTGTCACACTTGTCTTTTGCTCGACAGATGTCCTGCCTGAGAAACAAACACACTCATGACACAACACACACTACACAAGTGTTTATGCTTTAATCAAGTTCAATCCACTACGCAGTGGATCAAAGGTGTGACTTAAGGCAGCAAAGGTTATGAGGTCAGAGGTCAAGTTAAGGTCACCTGGTTATGAGAAGGGCCGTGTCATGATGACCCGGGTGACTGTCGTCCAAAACATTGTGGCTTTGTTGCCACGTGCAGAAGTTATGAAGTGTCGCAGTGGCGTAGAAGTTTATATTCGGTCCTTCCTGAGGAAAAACACACACTTTAAACAAATGATCAATTATCAAATTAACAAAGCTAATTATTAGAGCTGATCGGAGCTGAATAATCACTCAGATGTTGCTCGTTTATGTCTCAGGACACTATTATTTCACTGAAGTATCAAGCCGGTTTTTCCTAAACTTCCACACAAATGAGTCAGCTCAGATCATTTGATGAGAGATTATTTTGATCATATTGAGATCTCATATTGAGATACTCTTAAGTTTTGATGGCAGACTTTGGGGTCTTGAGCAAATCTGAGCACATTTTGAGACATTGTTTACATCACTTCTCAAACTGTAGAAGAGACGTGAGAAACATCTGAGACTTCAGCAAAAGTCTCCATTTAATCTTACTGCAGTCTAGGAGAAACAACTGAGAACACAGAGAGATCTCATATCGCTCGTTTATGTCTCAGGACACTTAATGCATTACTTCACTTAAGTATCAATCTTGTCTCAGGTGTTTCCCCTAGACTTCAACATAAATGAGTCAGCTCAGATAATTTAATGATAAATGATTGAGATCATATTGACCTCGTCTTGAGCAAATCTGAGCACAGTTTGAAACATTATTTAGATCACTTCTTAAACTGTCAAAGAGACACGTGTGAGATTATTGTGGGCTTTTTCTCTGGAGAAACATCATTTAATCTAAAAAATTATGGAGATTATATTGAGATCTCTGAGTTTTGATGACAGTCTTTGGGTTCTTGAGCAAATCTGAGCACAGTTTGAGACATTATTGAGGTTATTATTGAGACACGTGTGAAATTACTGGGGTCTTTTTCTCTGGAGACACATCTAAGACACTGGAGACTTCACCATATAATCTTACTGCAGTCTAGGAGAAACAACTGAGAACACAAAGAGATCTCATGTTGCTCGTTTATGTCTCAGGACACTTAATGCATTATTACACTAAAGTATCAACCTTGTCTCAGATGTTTCCCCTAGACTAACACATACATGAGTCAGGTCAGATCATTTGATGAGAAATAATTGAAATCATATTGAGATCTCTGAGTTTTGATGACAGTCTTTGGGGTCTTGAGCATATCTGAGCACAGTTTGAGACATTATTGATGTTATTATTGAGACACGTGTGAAATTACTTTTTCTTTTTCTCTGGAGACACATGTGACTTCTTCATATAATCTCACTGGTGTCTAGGAGAGACAAATCAGAACTTAAAAAGATCTCATTTGTCTTTTGTCAAAAGGATGTTTTCTGATGTACCTGTTCATTATGTATGACGATGAGTTTGACAATCATGATGTTGATGAGGTTTCCTACACTGGGGTCTCTGTAGATCGCAGCAACCTGAAACAAAAATACCCATAAACCACTGCTCTTCCAAACAGTAACACTGGGTGAACTCAAAAAAACAAAAGGAGAGTTGGATCCACATGCAGAAATAGTTTAATAACAAAATAAACATGACCAAAGAACCAGATAACAGAATGAGCATCACCTGACACACATCCAACAAAGGACAACACCAGACAGAACATGAAAAACACTGGGGTATATACACACTCAAGGGGAGATTGGCAAACAAGACAAACCTGGGAACAATCAGGAACTAATCAATTAGATAAACTACAAAACTTGGCACAGAACTGAAAATAACGTGGAGGAACACAAGACAAGGGGAACACAAGACAAGGGGAAGACAAGGGGAACACAAGACAAGGGGAACACAAGACAAGAGGAACACAAGACAAGAGGAACACAAGACAAGGGGAACAAAAGACAAGGGGAACACAAGACAAGGGGAACAAAAGACAAGGGGAACACAAGACAAGGGGAACACAAGACAAGGGGAACACAGCACAAGGGGAACACAAGACAAGGGGAACACAAGACAAGAGGAACACAAGACAAGGGGAACAAAAGACAAGGGGAACACAAGACAAGGGGAACACGGGACAAGGGGAACACAAGACAAGGGGAACACAAGACAAGAGGAAGACAAGAAAAGGGGAACACAAGACAAGGGGAACACAAGACAAGAGGAAGACAAGAAAAGGGGAACAAAAGACAAGGGGAACACGGGACAAGGGGAACACAAGACAAGGGGAACACAAGACAAGGAGAACACAGGACAAGGGGAACACAGGACAAGGGGAAAACAGGACAAGGGGAACACAAGACAAGGGGAACACAAGACCAGGGAAACACAAGACAAGGGGAACACAAGACAAGGGGAACACAGGACAAGGGGAACACAAGACAAGGGGAACACAAGACAAGGGGAACACGGGACAAGGGGAACACAAGACAAGGGGAACACAAGACAAGGGGAACACAAGACAAGGAGAACACAGGACAAGGGGAACACAAGACAAGGGGAACACAGGACAAGGGGAACACAAGACAAGGGGAACACAAGACAAGGGGAACACAAGACAAGGGGAACACAAGACAAGGGGAACACGGGACAAGGGGAACACAAGACAAGGGGAACACAAGACAAGGGGAACACAAGACAAGGGGAACACAAGACAAGGGGAACACAAGACAAGGGGAACACAGGACAAGGGGAACACAGGACAAGGGGAACACAAGACAAGGGGAACACAGGACAAGGGGAACACAGGACAAGGGGAACACAAGACAAGGGGAACACAGGACAAGGGGAACACAAGACAAGGGGAACACAGGACAAGGGGAACACAGGACAAGGGGAACACAAGACAAGGGGAACACAGGACAAGGGGAACACAGGACAAGGGGAACACAAGACAAGGGGAACACAGGACAAGGGGAACACAAGACAAGGGGAACACAGGACAAGGGGAACACAAGACAAGGGGAACACAGGACAAGGGGAACACAGGACAAGGGGAACACAAGACAAGGGGAACACAAGACAAGGGGAACACAAGACAAGGGGAACACAGGACAAGGGGAACACAGGACAAGGGGAACACAAGACAAGGGGAACACAGGACAAGGGGAACACAGGACAAGGGGAACACAAGACAAGGGGAACACAGGACAAGGGGAACACAAGACAAGGGGAACACAGGACAAGGGGAACACAAGACAAGGGGAACACAGGACAAGGGGAACACAGGACAAGGGGAACACAAGACAAGGGGAACACAGGACAAGGGGAACACAAGACAAGGGGAACACAAGACAAGGGGAACACAGGACAAGGGGAACACAGGACAAGGGGAACACAGGACAAGGGGAACATAAGACAAGGGGAACACAAGTCAAGGGGAACACAGGACAAGGGGAACACAAGACAAGGGGAACACAAGACAAGGGGAACACAAGACAAGGGGAACACAGGACAAGGGGAACACAGGACAAGGGGAACACAAAACAAGGGGAACACAAGACAGAATCATGACACACACATACTGATAAACCACATTACATAGTTTTTGTAGCCTATACAATATTGTGTCATTAACAATTGTAATGTAATGCGTTAACACTCAGTGTCAGTTTTAAAAATACCGTTATGGTTTGGAGTTACCAATCCAGAGCAGATGCTAGCTAGCAGTCAATAGCTAGCTACGACAACAAAAGCACTGGAACACAACACACTGGTAAATGCCAGTTCACAAGTGGAAAATATCATCTTTTCCCTAGCCCAGACTAAACCCAGACTAATGTCCAGGGGTCTTTCCCACATACGCACCGAGACTTTAAAACACTTTACCTGTTGAAATCAGAACTGCACCAACAATAACTATTTTTAAATCAATCTTATCTTAAGATCTGGCTTATAAGTCATGAATGCTGTCTTTCTGTGCTTTGATGTTTACTTGTGTCTTTGTCTGTATTGTATTTAATGGTTATTCATTTTGTATAGCACATTGGTTTTAATTGTGCTTTATAAATAAACTGAAATTGAAATGCATCCACTGAATCGTGTTTGAGAGGTTTTCCTGCCCAAAAGTCAAATGACTGTCCTGCTCTAGATCTTCTATATCTTCCAGCAAAACTTCAAATCCTGTCGTAAAACTGAGGAGATCCAAGGGGAAGTCATTAGTTCACCATAAACACCGTGTTTAGAAGAGGCCAAAGGGGAAACTCAGACAGACGGCTTCAATTACAGGGAGAGACAGACATCTCCACTATAAATCACTGTCAGACAAACTAATGCAGGCTTCTGATTGGCCGAGAGAACACGCCCACACTACTATGACATCATCAGAACACTAAGACTCAATCAGGTGTGTGTTTCCCGTACAACACCGTAACTCGCTGCTTCACTACAGTCATTAGGGTTAGGGTTAGAAATCAACTAGCGAGTCACGACTGTTTCCCGAAACCATATCGTCATAAATTGGTCGTTCAACCGCGTTGGTCAATGATGTCACGCAGATGGAGGAGTAATAACTACTGTTAATGAATCTGTTCGAGATCGAATTAATGCAAGATGTTTTGCTATAAGTTAGACATGCATCTGAGGACTATTTCTCATTTTTCTCAGTTATTTTGCTTTATTTCCAGATTTACTCATCGGCTCGTTCTTACACACTAGAGCTTTCGGGAAACAAACCCCTGATCAACATTCAATTTTTTATTTGCATATATAAAAGGCAGTATAATGAACTAAATTCACTCTGAATCTCCAGTGTGAATGTGCTCTTACTCTCACCATGGTATTCTCTGAAGGATCTGGTGTAAATATTGTCCATATGTTGTTTTGAACAGATTTTACTCATTTATATCTGGATTTAAACCCCAAAACTGGCTCATTAAGTCAAAATATATGGACCGAAGCAGAGCGGGTGGTCAGAAGACCCCCTGATGGTTCGTATCAAAGCACGGCCTTGTGGGTAGAAAGTCCAGCCAAGTTATTATGGAGTAAATCAGTGGATGAGGTAAGGAACCAATTATTGATTAAAACTATTTAATAGACTTCAAACAGACTGAACGCTCAGGAGACCCACAGCAGATTTATGAGCTCAAAAACAAGACAAACTACAGATGCTTTCTCTAACAATAACACATAATTCTAACCTAATTTTTAATTTTTATGGTATAAGAGTGAAAAGAATAAAATGTTGATTTACTTACTACTGACATGATTGTGAGTATGTAGTGCTCGAGGTTTGGGCCGTGGTGCCGGAGCATCTTGGTGTCGGCCGTGACCATGAGCTCCACGAAGCGCGGGTACGATAGGAAACGCTTCTTGCGTGAACGGGGAGCGCTGGAATCCTCTCGGGAACGAGCTGAGCGCTTCCGCATTGTTTCCTGTATCGACATCACTTCCTCTTCCAGAGTTCTGTTGCTATGGAGACTGATGTGATCGTTGTCGTGATGTTCTGTGGGAAAAGAAACACCTTTTACTGTTACAGCACAAATTAAATCAATATATTAGATTAATGTATATTTAAAGGCAGTATAAGTACTACAAATGATTTAAATATGTATTTTTATTATTATATTTAAATTTTTAACTAATATACAGTATATTTAGAAATAAAACATTTAAATAATAATGATAATAGTTAATACTCATTTATATACAAAATGTATAATTACTATTTAATATTAACATTATGAGTTATTAGTAATATTATTAGTATTATTAGTAATAATATAAATATTTCAATATACATATAATTTAATAGTAACAAATATTTTTATAACAACACATCTTTATAGCCCCTTTTACTGCATTACAGTAAAAAATAAATGAATATATATATATATATATATATAAATTTAAAGGGAGTATCATTACTACAATGATTTATATATGTATTTATAAGTATTTAACTAAAATATTTAGAAATAAAACTACAATATTGTTAATAATTATTTATTTCTAAATATATTTATGTACAAAAATAAATATAAATAATTCACTTTTAATATAAAAAGTATTTATTGTTTAGTAATACAATTATTTAGTTTCATTACAATATAATAACAATTCTTCTTATTATTATTATTTTATTTCTAAATATTTTGTTTAAATATTTAAAATCTAAAAAAAACAGTTTCATTTTAATTGTAATTATATATATTATATACAATATATTATAAATAATAATAATAATTTTTCTAAATATATTTACATAGAAAACAATAAATATAAATTATTAATATGTGATATTTTACAGTTTATATTAAAATTTTAATATAACCATTAATATTTCTGTTTCATTATTAATACTATACATATTACAATATACTGTAATAATAATAATAATATTTATTATTATTATTATTATTATTGTCGTTGTTTTATTTCTAAATATATTGGTTACATATACAAAAAATATGAGTTTCATTATAATACTTTAACTATTATAATATATTATAAAATCATCATTATCATCATCATCATCATCATCATCATCATCAATTACATTGAAACTGAGGCGTTTCCTCTGCAAACAGTGTCTTTGACAGAAATCATCAGTTTATTTTCAGTCGGAGTGTTTCTGTGAGATACTGTGAGGCCGGAGGAGGAGCGACATACATACACACCACATGTGGGATTACATCAGAGCGGCTCGTCCTGGAAAACTGACTCCAGATCAGCTGACAGACATGATGCTGAAGCCCTGACAGAAACATCTGCACTGAGGCATTACCTTACAACACGTGTGTGCAGATCTGGGTCTAGTGTGTGAACAGAGTGAGAGCACTGCCAGACACACACACACACACACACACACATACACACACACACACACACACACACACACACACAGACACAGACACAGACACCAAACACACACACACACACCAAACACACACCAAACACACACCAAACACACACCAAACACACACACACACACCACTACTAATACAAATTATTATTTAAAACTCTATATATTGATATATTTCTAAAAAAAACAAGAACTAATAAAAATGACAAAAATCACAGCATCTTCATCATCTTCATCTTTATCATCTTCATCATCATCATCATCATCATCACCATCATCATCATCTTCATCATCTTCGTCATCATCATCTTCGTCATCATCATCATCTTCGTCATCATCATCATCATCTTCGTCATCATCATTATCATCATCATCATCATCATCATCATCTTCTTCATCTTCTTCATCATCATCATCATCATCATTGAGCCGAACGCTCTGGACAAACTCCAGCGGTCCAGCAGGAAAACCTCCAGAGAATGAAGACGACACGCTTTACGAGGACATCTGCCGTGTGTTTATCCACACACACACACACCGGACAACGCACACCAGCCCTCTGTAAACCCAGCGCACGGGTGTAAACTACACACACTCATGCTCACGGGGCAGTTGCTTTGACACAAGCCTGGACTTCTTCACACACTCTGTGCTGATCTAAACATGAGATCACTGATGGAACCAATAAATCATGAGAATGAGACTTTAGTTCAAGTCACCGGGACAGTCATAAACACACACACTGAACTGTGTGTCACACACACTGAGACCGGGACAGTTAAACACACACACACTGAACTGTGTGTCACACACACTGAGACCGGGACAGTTATAAACACACACACTGAACTGTGTGTCACACACACTGAGACCGGGACAGTCATAAACACACACACTGAACTGTGTGTCACACACACTGAGACCGGGACAGTTATAAACACACACACTGAACTGTGTGTCACACACACTGAGACCGGGACAGTCATAAACACACACACTGAACTGTGTGTCACACACACTGAGACCGGGACAGTTATAAACACACACACTGAACTGTGTGTCACACACACTGAGACCGGGACAGTTATAAACACACACACTGAACTGTGTGTCACACACACTGAGACCAGGACAGTCATAAACACACACACACTGAGACCGGGACAGTCATAAACACACACACTGAACTGTGTGTCACACACACTGAGACCGGGACAGTTATAAACACACACACTGAACTGTGTGTCACACACACTGAGACCGGGACAGTTATAAACACACACACTGAACTGTGTGTCACACACACTGAGACCTGGAGCCATGGCCATGGTATAAGCATGACTCAAACTTTTGCGAATTACTAACACTTTACATCAAATTAAAATGAAACTACTAAATAATAGGTTACATGTATAATCAATTACATTTCAGAATTTCATTATAATATTAAAATATTACTATATATTAGGCTATAATAAATAATAATAACAATAACAATAATAAGGCCATAATAATACTACTACTTATTATTGATAATAAGTATATTATTAGGTATATATATATAATGTGTCAGAGTCCTCAGGTGCATGTCTGTAATTTATAGCAAAGCATCTCGCATTAATTAGATCTCGAACAGATTCATTAACAGTAGTTATTACTCTCCCTCTGCGTGACATCATTAACCAACGCGGGTGAACGACCAATTTGCGGCGATATGGTTTCGGGAAACAGTCGTGACTCGCTAGTGGATTTCTCCAGCGATGCATCGTACGGCTGTAGCGAAGCGCGAGTTACGGTGTTAATCGGGAAACACACACTCCTGAGCGTCTCTCTCGCTGTTACCCTGAACATTGTATAAGCATTAGTTTCATGTGTCACTGAACGGGAGCGTAAACATCACATCCGTTAGATTTTACCCGAGTCCTTCATATAAAAATCAGTCTGACAACCCAGGAAGTCTCATGTTTTTTACTTTCGTTACAAGCTCACACATTTGTTCGTACATACAGCCCGTTTAAGATGTTCAAACATCCGACTCTACATAAACTCCCCATGGTTTTGAGCTTCTCTGATGACAGAGAGTGTAAACGGATCCACATCCAGGTGTGGAGATGAAGCACTTCAACAGCCCTTATTATGGAGACGCATCTCTCAACACGGCGAGCCAGACGCGAGATCAGCGCTGAGGAGAAGCACAGAAACTCACCGTGTTGTGTGTGTTAGTATCACTCAGGGACCCTTTTAACAGCATTTCAACAATGTCAATATTCACTATATCACACAGATTGTCATATATCACATCACTGGACCTAATCCCGAGCAGCACTACAGATGTCAGACGGAGACGCGTCTGCTTTGGAGTCGATCAGAGGACGTTTATCTGTCAGACACACTCACGAGATCTGACGACAAACACTCGCCCGTATCTCGGGAGAACAATCGCTTCAGAGATAAAGATACAGCGGGACCTTAAAATGGGACCTTCCCAAGCGCAAGATCTCCTGGCAAGAGTTGTGGCGGCTGGAGCCCTACCGAATTTCCTTCCTATTGCGATCTGTCTATGACACCCTTCCTTCGCCAGCACATTTACATGTATGGGGGCTGAGGGAAGATCCTAACTGCAAGCTATGTGGGCAAAAGGGAACATTGGCACATATACTATCAGGGTGCAAAACTGCTCTCACTCAAGGTCGGTATAGGTGGCGTCACGACAAAGTGTTACTGTCCCTTGCTGACATATTGGAGCAGGAAAGATGTAGGAAGAGGCCTGCCGGTATGGGCTTGAAGAGGGCGATCACCTTCATCAAGGAGGGAGAAAGGCCTTTTTCAACCAAACCATCAAAACCCAATCTCCTTCAAAACGCCAGGTCCTGGGAGATGAGGGTGGACGTGGGAAAAAGGCTGCAATTCCCAGGGGTGGTGCTCACAGCCCTCCGTCCAGACATTGTCCTGTGGTCAACAGAGGGCAAGAAAATAATTCTAGTTGAGCTGACGGTGCCTTGGGAGGAGGGATGTGAGGTTGCCCATGAGAGGAAGGCCTTGAAGTACCAGTCCCTTCTTCAGGACTGCAAGGACAAGGGATGGCAGGCGTGGTTGTTCCCAGTGGAGGTCGGCTGCAGAGGTTTCCCTGCCAAATCAACCTGGCGGTTACTATCAGATCTGGGCATGGACGAAAGAAGGAAAAAACAAGCAGTACGTCGGATGGGGGAGGAGGCAGAACGTGCCTCCTGCTGGATATGGAACAAGAGGGAGGAGGAAAGCTGGAAGCCAGGAGCAGATGGGCAGTGACTTGGCCATCACTGCCGGCCCACCAACTGGAGGGTGTTGTGGTTGAGGGCCGAAACACCCAGTGAAGGTTGTTTACCACCTGACGACATCTGCTCCTGGCAGAAGGCTACAGTTACCCTCAAGGTAACTGAAGAAAGCACCCACTAGGTGTATGTCACAAGTATTCTCTGGTTTACCAGTGGCTTCTAGGAAAGACTAGATGACAACCGAGAAAGGTCGGTGACGCTGGAGAGACAGTTGACCTCCAGGAAAGTCTGGCGCGGGCACTCAAGGCTAGCAACCTTGCTTTGCAGCACTCGTAAGAGGGCACCACTCTTGCTACGAATGAACAAAATGAGCAATACCCCCAGAGT